GGGAAGTAACGAAATATCAATTAATTTGTTAACTGATAAACATTTCACGTGGTTTTTTACCGAGACGAGCAGAAATATTGATACCTGCATATACAAACTTAAAAGCGATGAATAGTTACGTACGAAATCTAATACGTTAGTAATTTACTAATATTCAGCCGCACTAATATTCACTTTGACTGTTTGAAATTTAAAATATGGAGGTGTCGACCGTGGAGGAGTATCGGAACGATAAGAAAAATGAACTTTCTAAATGCAAAGAATTTTTCAAAATTGTTCTTCAATGCGTAGCTTCTGAAACCACTTAAAAGCCTGTTGCCTGTTGCCTGAGCCTATTCAATGTAAAATATTTCGTATTCATGGTAAAGTCTTATTTTTTAGAAATTTAAAGCTTATCCCCAACATTATTCAAATTCCTTATCCCCACAAGGCCAGGCACGCACTAATAATGCCTCTGATGTTCCAGGTGTCCATAGGCGACGCCGGTTGCTTACCAGTAGGTGATCCGTATACTGCTTATGCCATAAAAAAACTAGGCCTTTTACAGTTGCATAACCAATCAAAACAATTCGTTATTTTACTCACATAATACGTGTTTAAGTGCGTTACCAAATTCATTAATAATAAGCCGAATATAATTTCCCGTATAATCCGTACTAATCGCATTACACTCGGCTGAATATTTCAGCGTGTTCTCACTGAATTTCATGAAACGTTTCATCGCCCAGCTGTGTTCAGTGGACGCGGGGGCTGGTCATTTTAAATTAAGGTTATAGTACACTGTAGTGACATGTGAAATATGTGACGGGAGAAAATAATTTAGTTCAATATACATAGGTATAGGATATTATAGCACAGCTGTAGTCCCTTTAGGGCCTAAAGGAATGCACTTAACCAATAGTGCCCATTTCACCCATTATTTATTAGGAGCTGACTCTATTGCCATATTGGGAAAGTAAAATAGGTACACTCCGTGCTACAATTGTCAAATTTAAAAAAAACCAGGAAAATTCCAATACTTCTCGACTGGGTATTATTGTATTCCTTTCTACGTTGGTACGGAGCCGCGGAGAATCTTACGGGTTACCGGGACTCCGGCTAGAAGTGCAGGAGTAGAGTAGGAACGGGGTGGTTTTTAGGCAGTAAGAGTCTGACACTCCCTCCCGCCTCACCCAAGCGGGAAAAGTAACTCGAGGATTTTCCGCCCTTAAAAAAATCCCTTTCTACGCTACCCATTGCGCACTTGCAATTAAACCAACGAGGCAGTAGTTCAGTTAGTATAAGTTTTAATAACAGTTAAACGGATATTTTAACACAAACTAACTACAATTAGTCGCCATAATACAGAATATACATTCTCTAGTGTGTACACACCCTACAAAGTGCTCGGTAAGAGCAAATTGGACTATATTTGCTTGAAGCTCCCACCCAGTTACGTGTTCATTTAGATAATGTCGCATAACATTATATGCATACAAATATAGCACCTATGTTAAACAAGAGGAATAAAGCACAATGTATTCTATAATCACATGATTAGGGTTGTTTTTATAATGGCTCTGTTGCGAAATAGTCGCATGTTTTTGGTAGAACGTGATCTTTGTGCGTAATGTAATCAAAGATGGACGTGTTTGAAGGCTTAGGTTTGTAGAGAAGACATGTCGTAAGAGCCATAGAGAGTTCAATGAATTATGAACTTAGGTGATGTTAGCACACGATTTAGATTTGAACTATATAGTTATGATAAGAACATGAAAATAATATCCAGGAATCTTAGACCTATTTTAAATATGTTTTTCACTAATTCAATTTCCTTTATTATTGCTTTAAGGTACATTTTGCATTGCACACCCAAATGCTCCAGTACAATCTATTCACTGCTCATCAAAATTACGGTGCCGCGGAGAACTTAATGGGTTACCGTACCGGGCCCCCGGCTCCAAGTACAGGAGTAGGAACGGGGTGGTTTTTAGTCGTAAGAGTCTGACACTGCCTCCCGCCTCACCCAGGTGGGAGAAGCCATTGGATGACTTTCCCCCCTTAAAAAAAAGCTCATCAAAATGTATGTCACTTATTCAGTATTTCCTTACATCCTTGCTTTCCCTTACAATAACAAACGTGATCAAATGTTTCGCAGAGGATTTAGCCGTTTCAAAACAAGGAAACAAATCCCTTGCCATCATAACAAAACAAAAGCTTTACACATACATACATATATAATACAAATATGTTGGGTTGTATGTGTTCATATTTCCGGAATTTTCCTGCCACAAGTCCGTACATATACAGATCTTTGCCCGGAATGCGGGTGAAGTTTTAGTCGAAAGAAACAACAAATTTTAGAAAGGCATCAGTCTTTTCATACATTTTCGTTGGTTAAGGGTACTTTTAATGCTTTTACTAAAGCGAAAGAGGTATGTAAGAATCGTAGCAATTGGCGTTCTATAGTCTCTGCCTATCTCCATTGGAGACAGGCGTAAGGTTATGTATGTAATCATGAAAAGTCAAATCAATACATAGTATAAAACAAAGTCGCTTTCGCTGTATGTCCGTATGTATGCTTAGATCTTTAAAACTACGCAACGGATTTTGATGCGGTTTTTTTTAATAGATAGAGTGATTCTTAAGGAAGGTTTGTATGTATGATACATGCATATTGCACCCGTGCGAAGCCGGGGCGGGTCGCTAGTTATAAATAAAAAAAAGTACAACACGTACAAGTCCGCTAAATCCTCTATCAAAAAGGGTTAAAGATAGCGCCTTTCACCTTCTTTTAACCCTTTTTCACGTGCATCTTGAACGTACCTATTGATTTGATGGATACAACCATTTTCGTACAAATACACTTAATTGTTAATGATACACGCATAATTTTTTATACATAACTAGCGACCCGCCCCGGCTTCGCACGGGTGCAATATGCATGTATTATACATATAAACCTTCCTTAAGAATCACTCTATCTATTAAAAAAAACCACATCAAAATCCGTTGCGTAGTTTTAAAGATCTAAGCATACATACGGACATACAGCGAAAGCGACTTTGTTTTATAATATTATTATGTATTGATTATGTGTCTGGACTTTAAAAGAGACGGGACCTCGGAATTCGTTTCGGTATTTCTTCTTAGAGTAAGTAGTCAGTTAGGACATGTGACGTCATTTATATTTTTTTCTTTAAATTAAACATAACTTAACATCACGCCTTTTATCCCCGAAGGGGTAGGCAGAAGTGTACATTATGGCACTGTACAATGCAACACCCACTTTTCACTATTTATGTTATGAGTCCCATGTAATAGGGGGTGAGCCTATTGCCATATACCGGGCACAATTCGAGACTCCGTGCTACTACTTTGAATTTTTGAAAAACCCAGTAATATTTTGCCCGACACGGGAATCGAACCTGAGACCCCTTGCCCGGCAGTCGCACTTGCGACCACTCGTGCCAATGAGGCAGTTATTAAATAAAAAATACTAGTAAATAGCTATTTGTAGCCTATTTGCAAAATAAATTCACTTGTTCAGTTCACGAGTCTGAAATTTTCAACGAATGTTTGTAATTTACTCCAGAATTTTGATATGTTAATCTGGGACCCCGACAGACATATATACATAATATCTATCATCTCGGTTATTGTACAAACAATTGCCGCTGTAGGTAAGGTAAGCTGTTTGGCTTTATACAACAATACACGGTAAAATGCAAGTAAAGCCATACCATTTATCTAGCTTTCGGGTCCGATTGGCTTGTGTTTATGTCTCAGTATGCTGTGCTGAATTTACTTAATGCACGTATTTTATATCGCAGTTACGTAAAAACTGCCTCGTTGGCCGAGTGGTCGTAAGTGCGACTGCCGGGCAAGGGGTCTTAGGTTTGATACCCGGGTCGGGCAAAGTATTACTGGGTTTTTAAATATTCTCAGTAGTAGTACGGAGTCTGGAATTGTGCCTGGTATATGGCAATAGGCTCACCCCCTATTACATGGGACTCATAACGAGTGAAAAGAAAAGTGTAGAGTGGATGTTACATTGCATAATGTGCACCTCTACATACCCCTTCAGGGGTGATGTTATGTTATGTTACGTAAAAAGTAAAAAGTTTTTTTAAATTTTTAATTAAGGGGATAATAAACCTAAAAAATGGATGAGAATAGAATCATTTAGGTGTTCACACTTTAGTTTAGAAATCCCTTAACAAACATTATTCAAATTATTTTCACTCGGACTAACAATGTAATCAGTAGCCAAATGCCATTTAGCGCTTGTCTACTTGTAGAGTAGAAAACTAAATGATATGGGGATTAATATAAATTTCGACACATATCATTGTAATTAATTTAGTTTTCTACTCTCTTTGACGACATGCGCTAAAGTGGCGTTTGACTAGTTAGTCATGAGTTAGTCAGAACAGCTGTCAAAAAGCGTCACAGAATCATAGTATATTCCTATTTTGCACGCTATAACAAAGCCGAGAAACTTCTACAAACATTATACTGATACCCACAACGTACGAATGGGTCTATTCGGTCCATTCCCTATTGGTCCACTTAACCAAATAGGTAGAACATACGAGGAGGAACATTATTCTCCATTAACACAACAAACTAAGGGAATTATGTGGCACGGACCTCCGGGGAAAATAAAATATGGTACGGTATTGTGAACTTTAGTACGTGGGGATAGAATGCGTTATTCAATTAACATTGTTGTTGAGTTCGGAATTTCTATAAGTTGAAGTGAGAAGGAAGTTTTTATTTTTACTGTAGTTGCATCTGTCTCAAATGTATTTTTTCATTGCTTCATAATTAAAGCATTTGATACTTAATTGAGTGGAGGAAAACTCTGACATATTAAAATTTTAAGTACGTCATTCGTAAGCAAGATCCATGAAATAAATAATCATAATTTTATTCTGCACACTCGCAGTACAGAAGAATGAGTTACTTTAAATCATGGACCACGTGCCTTTATAGTCTAAGATCCTAAAACCACTTACCTTGGCAATCTTGTGTAGTAGAGCAGTAGTAGAACTAGTCTTGAATAGTCCGAGAGCCCGGCGCCGCAGTCCCTGCCCGAGGCACGCTTCCACAGCGCCACACAGAGCAGTCACACCGCCACTCTCTTCGTGTACGAATTTACGTGTTACAGCCTGTAACAAGGAATAGATATAAGTTGGTCGTATTTAAAATAATTATTTGTCTACCTAATCACCATAGCTTAAAAAATACTTTATCAAATGAAAGTCATCAATCAGTATTGGTAAATTACGTAAATATATTACGTAAACATATTACATAACTTTTTTTTTATTTTTTCAATTGTGTTCTGGCTTCGCATCAACCACTTCATTTCTCTGCACTTTCCTATGGTTGACTGTAAGAGAATGCCTTAAGGCATTAAGTCCGCCATTCACTGATGTATTTTGTGAAGAAGAAATAAATAATTAAAAAAATAAATAAATCTCACAAAAAACTGAAAGAATATTGTTATTGATATATTTTGTTAAGGAAGATTGTATATATTAAAACTAATTTTATATATCCGGCTTGCTAACGGTTACGTGTTAAAAATGTCTAAATGAGGTTACATGTTCTAACTGACTACCTACTCTGAGAAGAAATACCGAAACAAACTCCGAGGTCCCGTCTCTTTTAAAGTCCAGACAAAATAATATGTTTATAAAATTATGCGTGCATAATTAATAATTAAGTGTATTTGTACGAATGTGGTCGTGTCCGTCACAGGAGACAGTTATGTTTGACGAGAAACTCGACTAGTTTCAAGCCATACTAGAGGCTCATATTCATGAGCAGCATTCCGCGACCCGCGACGTGGCGACAGCCGCGCTGCTACTGTGTGAAACTAGTCGAGTTCCTCGTCAAACAGTTACGTGAGTAAGTCGAAAACATAATAATTCGGCATGAATGGACCGGCTCAACCGGAGTGATACCACGGCCTCACAGAAAACTGACGTGAAGCAACGCTTGCGTTATGTTTCGTCGTGTGAGTGAGGTTACCGGAGGCTAAATTACCCTCCCCTTCCCCAATCTCCCCAATCCCTGAATCCCCAACGATCCTCAAACTCCTAATCCCCAAAAGGCCGGTAACGCACTTGTAACACTTCTGGTGTTCCAGGTGTCCATGGGCGACGCCGATTGCTTACCATCAGGTGATCCGTCAGCTCGTTTACCGGCTTATGCCATAAAAAAAATTAAGACCTTTGTAAAAAGACATTACGTTGTTTTTATCTTTACTAACGAATCATTTATAAGGTACAGGTACAAACTGGCTTGGAAAACCATTGTATTATAGAAAAGACGTTGAAATGTAGATTGTATTATCCTTTTTGATTATAAAAGATTAATATGGTTTCAGAAGATTGAAAGATCGTCTCTTTGAAGGTTTAAACTGAATTTAATCAGGAAATTACAATGACAGTAGGCAACTGGTTGCCGCGCAACGTGTCGCGGGTTCAATTCTCGGAAAGGAACAAATCTTTGTTTGATCCACAGATTGTTGTTCCGGGTGTTATGTGTATGTGATATTGTATGTTTGTAAACACCCACGACACAGGAGAAAATCCTAGTGTGAGACAAAGTTTAAAAAAAAGTAACTACATAGTATTGCATAATATTACTTAGTCTCCTCAACAATTAAATATAACAATATAAATACAGCATCATTGTCTGTAGGTAAAATTCTAAACTGCATCAAGCGTCACCCGTAATTTAATTTACGGATTTCCAAGCTCCGTCTACCGAGAACCGATATTAAGACCTAACTAGTTCCAATGTAAATCTCAACTCCTCCTTCTGTTTCCTCTAATATCTAGCTAGAACCTCGTCGATAATATTAATCAAGAGACCAACTATACTTCACAGAGTCTCAATATTCACTCAAGAAGCTTAAATGGAGCGCCATATTGAATTTTGTAGCGTTCGTCATGTTGCATGTTACGTTTACATGTTGTGCAACGTGTTGCATGTTGTATCAGTGGTTGATTAACTCGTCGAGTACCGTCATTATAGACACAATTATAGAACAATAGGTTGCGGTCACCGGTGTCCTCGCGGTGTTTGACAGTTTAATGTTGAGTCTTAAATCAATACAATCTGGTCTATTGCTTTTATGTTTATACATAACTAGCGACCCGCCCCGGCTTCGCACGGGTGCAATATGCATGTATTATACATATAAACCTTCCTTAAGAATCACTCTATCTATTAAAAAAAACCGCATCAAAATCCGTTGCGTAGTTTTAAAGATCTAAGCATACATACGGACATACAGCGAAAGCGACTTTGTTTTATACTATGTATTGATAATATCTGTGTTATTACGATGTACAGTATTTAATTAACGTACAGAAATAGCACAAGCGTTTTACTTGTAAGTGCCGCAGACCCAGCTCCGACCGTCGTAATTATTTATAAACAACTAGGATAAGTACTATGTGTTAATAGTTATAAGGAACAATGGGTTTGATATGTTAATGTTAACCAAAATCCCTAAATAAAACTAAATAAAAAAAAATTAACGCGATGACTTCCAAAAATAATTAGTACACAAATATTTTCTATGTGAGAAATGTGTTCCAAGGAAGACAATCCGAGGTTCCCTGGTCAGTCGAAACTGTTGGTATTTAGTTTTTCAAACATCTCAGTCATTTAAATTTGGAAATCGTTCGTAATGTATCTGGCTCATCCACCTATAGTATTCATAAATTCAAAAGTAGATACAAATTTATAGCGTTTTGTCTACCTCTCATAGTAACAACGGACAAACTACTGTAACAAAAGCTATGAACATAATATTTTGAACTCCACACCCTAAGTCATACGAACTTTAGGTATCACTCGACTTACCCCAGTGAGTACAAGGCTTAATATTTGAGCCTTCTATAATGAGAATAAAAAGTACTTTACCAAAGATTAATGTGCCACAAATTGAAGCCGATATCTCTCGGCTTAAAAGAAAATCGCGACTTCAAAATTGAAACGTAAATTCCATTTTGATTTTATTGAAAAGTAGAAAAAGAAGGACTTTTCTTTGAAATCAGTTCCTTTATTTAAAGCCTTCATTTTTTATTATTGTATTATGTTATATAATGGCAATTTTTATTTTTTCCTTTTATCTATTTAGTCTATTATTTCCCAACATCGAATTTTGTATTCTTCTTGGAATGCCGTACAGTGAATACAATTACCGACTTAACGCTACTACTAAGAATTTTCTAAATCTCAATAAACTTGCTTAAATCGGAACCGAACGAACAGAGCAGCCACTCATGCTCTTCAAGCCGGAGCACCGGCAACCCGTTAAGTTTTCTGCAGCTTCGTGTCAGGCATCAGCATTACGAGGCTGGTATATCATACTACCATTAGACCACCTGCCCTGTAAAAAGCCATTAGACCTGGTGCCTGGTGGGTTTTACACTGTCAAACATCAAGCGGTCACCGGTGACCGCAACCTATTGTTCTATAATTGTGTCTATAATGACGGTGCTCGACGAGTTAATAAGGCAGCCTACATTATTTCGTCTTTCTTCTCTTTAATTTTTATTAATGGGTACTGAGACAGACAACTTATCTAAATTCATTTTGGTTAACTTATGTCTGTTTCTGATACATATACATTAGAACTACAATTTAGTTATGACTTAAGTTCAAAGTAAGTACAAGAAGTCTTTGTAAGTTACTACAAACTTTATAATACGTACATGGGACGTACACACGGCCACACATCAACCTATACAAAACCAGTTTATCCTGGTATCGCGTCGCATCATCTTTCCGCACATTTAACGTTCTGTTTATACTGGTTATGTAAAGCTCGATGTGTAGTATAGTACTTAGAACTAGTGAATTTCTCCCAAATTAGAGAACTTACTAAATTCTTGTTAGGTCAATTAAAAGTTATTTATTGTGACAACCGCGTGTGTGTTCTAGAATTATAATTGGAGAATAAGACTTAAGAATAAGAAGAGCGTGGAGTCTTACTTAGTTACCCTCTATCACAGGGGACTCATAACATGTAATCTGATGATAAGTGGGAGTTACATTAACTTTAAATGGCCTCTCATTCTTACCACTTCCAGGTAACATTTTTATTTTGACTTTAATTACAGTTAGCGTACGCATGGGGTTTTGTGCCCGCTAATAATAAGGAATGGACCCCTCCGAAGGTGTTACTAATACCCACCCACTTTTCACTATTTATTTAGGACTAGCGGCCCGTCCCGGCTTCGCACGGGGGGACTTAAGATTTTTTACATAGTTTTACGTTTTATTTATATTTATTCTCAGTTTTTTTTTTATTTGGGAAATATTTACCTTTTGAAAATATTTTTCCGGACTTCATTTACTTATTTCATTTATTTAATTATTATTTTCTTCTTAAATAGGAACCTACCTATTTTGTTGTTGTTTGTTTTGGTTGAGGTAAAAGTTTGTTTTTAGATTGTTTTTTTACATTTATTGAAAAATATTTACAATATTTACAATTCAAAAGTTATGTAGAGCAAACTTTTATAAGGATTGAACCATTCATTAAAACGATTGTTATGGTTAAACTATAAAAGGTAGACATATGCTCTCGCGGACTTTTTTAAAAATAATGTTAAGATGAACAATTCATCTATAGAGCATTTTTGTATAACTTTAACTATATGCTCAGTGCACGCCACGGAAGGCCTCAGAAACGATACTTTTCCCCCGTTTTTAAAACATTTTTGGTTACTGCTCCACAACTATAGGACCTAGCGTGATATTATATAGCCTATGTTACTTCTGAATAATGCAGCTTTCTAATGGTGAAAAAATGATTGGAATCGGTCCAGTAGTTTTTGAGTTTATTCATTACAAACATACAAAAATACAAAAATACAAATCTTTCCTCTTTATAATAAAGTATAGATATGAGTCCCATGTAATAGGGGGTGAGCCTATTGCTATACACCGGGTACAATTCCAGACTCCGTGCTACTTCTAAAAAATTTTTTAAAACTCAGTATTACTTTGCCTGACCCGAGAATCCAATCCGAGACCCCTTGCCCGGCAGTCGCACTTGCGACCAGTCGGCCAACGAAAAACGAGATAAGGTTTATTTAATAATCTCATTACCAATCAGTACCTAGCGCTTACACAAAATATTAGGTTTTATTTTTATACATGAAATATGTATTATCTGTTCATTCTGTCGTACAGCAGTCACTATATATGATAGATTTTTAATATCAGCCCGAGCAAAGTAAAGGAAATTGAAAATGAGGCAGACGTCGACTTTAAGTGACATGCAATACGAACCAATTCTCTCTGTTATATTAATAAAAAGGCTTAATAGCCTTTTCACAAAAGTGATATTTTGTATTACTATTCAACAATCTCACATCTACAGAGATTTTTTAGATCTTACGGGTCCAGAAGTCCCAAAAACCTATTCATGAACATAGTATTTTTATAACGACTGCCTCGTTGGCCGAGTGATCGCAAGTGTGACTGCCGGGCACGGGGTCTCGGGTTCGACTACCGGGTCGGGCAAATAAAAATCTCAGTAGTAGCACGGAGTCTGGAAATGTGCCCGGTAAATGACAATAGGCTCACCTATTACATGGGACTCATAACATAAAAAGTGAAAAGTGGGTTACATTGTACAGTGGCATTAAGTGCCGAAATGTGCACTTCCGCCTACCCACCCCTTCGGGGATAAAAAGGCGTGATGTTGTGTTATTTATGTTAGTATTTTTATACATTACATCACTCCGTTTTTAATATTTTTATAAGCCTCTTTTAAAGCAAACTTATTAATTTATTTTTTCACTAGCTGCTTCCACGGTTGCACCCGCTCTGCTCGGCGCCTATTAATCGTAGCATGATGTTTTATAGTCTTTACCATTCCTCGATAAATGGGCTATCCAACACAGAAAGATTTTTCAAATCGGAGCTGTAGTTCTTGAGGTTAACTCGTTCAAACAATCTCTTAAGCTTTATATGTCTAATAGTATAAGATATAAGATAAGACGTGACAGTAGGCCAACAACCAGGTGAATTGGGATGATGACAGGGTATGAAAATTTAAAATCTAATTAGTCCGTAAGTTAGGTAATGAAAAAATATTAGACACGTAATTTTTATATTGACGTATAATAAAACAATACTCAGATAAAACGAATCAAAGTTTAGGAGTGGGGGCTAAATCGTCATTTCTACGTATACAATATACATAGAAGTGACGTCACGCGACATTTCAAATCAATATATCGTCGAAAGTATTCGTTTCTGTAAAAAAATAAAAAATACGTGTCTAATGGTTTAAAATAATCTACCAGACGGACATTAAAATAAAAATTAGGCATCTATCCTATTACAGGACATGATCAGCGCTGCCCATGAAATAAACACCCATTAGCGCCAGAGAGATCGCAGTTTTACATAACATAACATAACATAACATCACGCCTTTTATCCCCGAAGGGGTAGGCAGAGGTGTACATTATGCCACTGTACAATGTAACACCCACTTTTCACTATTTATGTTATGAGTCCCATGTAATAGGGGGTGAGCCTATTGCCATATACCGGGCACAATTCCAGACTCCGTGCTACTACTGGGAATTTTTGAAAAACCCAGTAATACTTTGCCCGACCCGGGAATCGAACCCGAGACCCCTTGCCTGGCAGTCGCACTTGCGACCACTCGGACAATGAGGCAGTCCGATCGCAGTTTTAAAGGTTTGTAATCTCCTTTAGTCGGCTCTAACGACATTCGTGATAAGACTAGGGCTGGTGTTAAATGCATTCTAGAGCTATCACCACATCGTCCACATCGCTTAACCTTAGACCAAGATCTAGACTCAGTACCACCTAAACCCTTAACCATAGTGGTCGCGATTCATTAACAGCCTCTAAATGCTCACTTCTGAGTAAAGCCTCTTCTCACAAGGGGAAGGTTTCAGTATTAATCACCACGTTTGATCAATTCAGGTTGGCGATTTCAAACTTTTAATTTGAAATTATTAGCCCAGATATCCTCACGATATTTTCCTGTGGTCGGGATTACGACATTTTAATAAACTACCTATCATTAAATTTCCTCATGAACGAAAACTACTTTAAATTAGCATTTACGTAAATATTCCGTAGGTCTAAGGTCCGGGCTTAACTGAATATTAATGTTTTACCCTTAAATTGTTTCAGCACTGAATTAATAAGTACCTACGTAAAGGGAAGGGCTTAAACACTGAATAAATTCGCGGTCTCGTGCGCAAACAGACGCCATTTTTGGTACATTCTATTTTATTTCTTGTTATATAGTTAATATGTTTTTGTTAAGTAAGCCTCGTAACTTGATCCCACTTACATAACTTAGTCTGTCTAGACTATAATTAGTGGTGGATCTGAGTACAATAGAAATGTTCTACAAAGTCTTTTATAGGCTTAAATGTGTGTTTTGTTGTTATTCAAATACCTCGTTATCATTTTTCATTACTCTTACCTATTATATTATATTCCTTGAATACAAAAGCACTACTTGTCCTCATTATTAAGTGTATGTCTAACTTTAGTTAGTTTCAGTACTTATCCCAACATAGAGATAAGGCTCATATGGGTATGGGGCATAAATAATTTAAGGCAATGTACTATTACTGAATATATGGTCTTATTGTACCAGGGGTGCACTGTTGACTAGCTATGACTGACTGTCTAGAACGGAGGTGTATTACATCCTTTGGGAGAACATACTTTTAGTAAGCGGGAAAGGTCCTATTATTCTCAGGTTCGGTAGGCGGCTTCAGGATGTTATATTTATTAAGAACCCACTTTGCCGTACTTAGTGTCTCAAGTGCATACATACATAACCTCACGCCTGTCTCCCATGGAGGTAGGCAGAGACTATGGATCAGCAATTGCCACGACTCTCACAAAACTCCGTACATAAAACACCTATAACTTATGTTACTAAGTAAATAATAATATATAAAACTGATACGTACCTCTTCCATCAACTGCTTGACCTCCTTCTTGACGGCTGCAATGAGCCGCTCTTTCTGCTCAGCGCTGGGGTCCGCGGCCGCAGCAGCCGGCATCTCCTCCGACCCGCCTTCAGCTAGAACAAACGTACTATTGTCTTTATTAATATCAATATCAATATTTTATGTATTTAAACACAATTGAAGCGTAATAAAAATATGAGCAATAATAATATTGAATAATACAATCGACAGCGGACCTATGGCACTGACGTCATGCAACAATGTATCATTCAATGACGAAATAAACGAATTTAGTGAGTGTTCATCTATGTTGCATAAATCAGTGAACAAATCTGGTCGTTCGTGTCACTCATCACCCATTTTGGAGACACGCGTGACGAATAAAGTGCAGCTACCGGTGAAGTGCAGCAGCGTGGAGTGCGAGAGCGGGACCTCAAGTGAGTGTGTGTTGCGTCCTAGCACGAGCGCCGAGTCGACGGTGAATGGAACAGCTGTGGAGCGCACTGGCGGGTCGGTGAGTCATACTGTTATTGTTAACGATAAGGAGTTTAATAATTTAACTAAGAGCACGTTATCGCCACCAAAACAAGTTTCCTTTGCCGACCTACTTCAGAGAGAGGGTGAATGGAAGGTGCAAGCGAAGGATGAAGCCTGGCATTTGGTACAGAGAAATAGATTTAAAAACCGTTTGATTAGTCGGACAGGCAGTGCGGTTATTAATTCTAGCGAGAATAGCTCTAAGTTTAAAGCGGCGGAATCGAAAGTGCCACTGTTTATATCTAACGTGAATAGGGATGTAACTGAACAGGATATAATTAATTACATATACGATAAAACGCGAGAAACAGTTTCGTTAGTAAAAATCAAAATGAAGCAAGAAAGGAACTACAACGCATATAAACTGTATGTAACTAAATATAAAATAACTGACTTCCTGGACGACAAGTTTTGGCCATCAGGAATATCGTTCAGGCGTTTTCTGAACCTATCTCAGAATAAAAACAGGAGACAGGGCCTTGAAAATCGTAGTTCAGAAAGACAGATTAATACAAATATTTGTTAAAATTGAATTAATTAATTAATAATAATTATGGATTGCTACAGTGAAATAATAAGTTTTAACTGTAAATCTTTGAAGAGATCTTTAGAAGGAATCAGGACGTTATGCGTAACAGCTGACGTGCTAGCCCTTCAGGAAACCTGGCTGCTTCCGCATGACTTGCCGCTGCTTAATACAATCGACGACGGGTTCGGGTGCACCGGCACGTCTGCGGTCGACACTACGGAGGGTGTACTCAGCGGGAGGCCCTATGGCGGCGTCGCGCTGTTGTGGCGTAAAAGTGCGTTCGAATCTGTGTCCGTGATTGAGTGTAGTAACGTGCGGGTCTGTGCGATAAAGATAACCGTAGGCGGTAGGTCAGCGGTACTTTTTAGTGTATATATGCCTACTAACTCCTATGACAATCTACCCGAATTTACCGCGTGTTTTAGTGCGATTCGGTCGGTAGTTGAAGTGGAGGAGAACAATGGTGTTGAGGCCTTTTATATATTGGGCGACTTTAATGCTCATCCAAATGAGTTGTTTCATAATGAAATGTTAGCTTTATGTGAGGATTTTGAATGGCTTTGTATAGATTTAAACATGTGCTCTGAAACTACCTATACATTTTATAGTGAAGCTCACGGTTGTACTAGGTGGTTGGACCACTGCATTGTTACAAAATCAGCTCGGGAGTCAGTCGTTGGTGTGACTGTACGTCATGACGTGTATTGGTCTGACCACTTTCCTCTTGTGGTTAAATGTAATATGTATAAGCTTAAACCTAAAGTTAATGATCTGTATACGGAAAAACCCATAAATCGTGTCGTGTGGGGCGAGAGACAGATACAACAGATTAATAAATATCATGAAATTTGTCATTCACAATTGCGGTTGATAGATTTTCCACAGGAGTTGAGTGAATGTTGTGATGGTTTTTGCGCAAACAAAGATCATCATACAATCCTTACTAGAATGTATGAGCAAGTTATATGTACGCTGTCTCGCGCGGCCATTCAAACACATAGGGAAAAGTGTCCCAGAAGGGGAGGTTATGTTATAGGGTGGAACAAGCACGTGGCGGACTCACATCGGAGGGCGCGGCTTGGATTTCGATTGTGGAATCTGACTGGGCGACCAGCAAATGGTCGAATCTTTGATGAGATGTCGGAAGCAAGGAGACATTTTAAAGCGAAATTAAAAAGGTGTCAGGATAGACAAGAGCAATTTAAAATGGATCTCCTTGCAACTGATCACTCTTCCAAGGATTTTAAAAGTTTTTGGAAACATACCAACAAAATGAATGTCAGGCCTAGCTTTCCGATGAGTGTCGGTGGTTCTGCTGACCACAAGGACATAGCGGAAGTCTTTAGGGAGCATTTTGCGGTACGGTCACCCTTGGGTCCCACAGCTGGTGAGGTGGGAGATGGTGAGCCCATTGTGACGGGGCAGAATATAAAAATATCAGCTAAGAGTGTCACTAAAGTTATTAGCGGAATGAAGCGTGGAAGGTCTCCTGGTCACGATGGGCTCAGTATCGAGCATTTTAAATATGCAGGGGTTCATTTGCCGCGAGTATTGTCCATGTTTTTTAGCCTTTGTGTCGGACACTCGTACTTGCCAGAACCGCTAATGCGGACAATAGTTGTCCCTATAGTAAAAAACAAGACGGGTGATACGTCCGACATAAATAACTATCGACCCATCTCACTCGCGACCACTACAGCAAAGGTGCTTGACGGTTTGTTGAACAGTCGCCTCACTGCACAGATTGAGTTGCACGACGCCCAGTTTGGGTTTAAAGCTGGATTCTCAACAGAGAGCGCTATTCTGAGTCTGAAGAGGACGGTCATGTACTACACTGCCAGGAGGACGCCGGTATATGCGTGTTTCCTCGACTTGTCAAAAGCTTTTGATCTAGTATCTTATGATATACTGTGGGGCAAGTTGGGGAGCGCGGGTGTGTCGGCACAGTATACCTCCCTTCTCAAGTACTGGTACTCCAATCAAAAGAACCGGGTGAGGTGGGTAGGTACTCTGTCAGACGAGTACAGACTAGAATGCGGAGTTAGACAAGGGGGGTTAAGCTCGCCTTTGCTATTTAACTTGTACATTAACCAGCTTATCGAGCGACTGAGCAGTACACATGTTGGCTGCCATATTGATGGAACATGTGTCAATAATATAAGTTATGCGGACGATATGGTACTGCTCAGTCCATCGATAGGTGGGTTGAAAAAGCTGCTGTCAATCTGCGAGGCCTATGCGGAGGAACACGGCTTGATATATAACTCGAGGAAGAGTGAGCTCCTCGTATTTGAAGCACCCAAGCAACAACCACGCAGTGTTCCACCCGTAAGTCTCAACGGAGTGGCATTAAAAATTGTTAGCTGTTTTAAGTATCTTGGCCACGTTGTTACAAGTGACTTAAGGGACGATGGAGATATTGAGAGGGAGCGCAGGGCATTGTCTGTGAGAAGCAATATGCTAGTCCGCAGGTTCGCTCGTTGTACTAATACCGTCAAAGTAACCCTTTTCAAGGCGTTCTGTCAATCGTTTTACACGAGCGGCCTGTGGGTGTCATACACGCGGCGAGCTTACGGTGCCCTGCGTGTCCAATTCAATAATGCCTTCAGGATGCTGTTGGGACTGCCATGGCGCTGTAGCGCGTCGGGAATGTTCGCAGAGGCTCGCACAGATGATTTCCACGCCATCATGCGTAAGAAAGCGGCCTCCCTACTGCGGCACCTGCATGGTAGTGGCAACAGCATTTTGAAGATGATTGCTGCCAGACCGGACTGTCCCTTGCAGAGACACTGGGTGGCCACAGTCATTAATAATACAAATATAAGATAGTAATAACTAACAATACTAACTTAACTATTTAAGCACTCTTTGTTACTAACACACCATTACTAACAAACCTATGGACATATCATCTAAAGTCTGAAATAAACTTATTATTATTATTATTATTATATTACCTATTCAATTACGTGATTAATTTTTTAAATATAAGTTACTAGTCCATGACTTTAATTAATTTGAAATGATTTAGCGTGGGTTTTGAATTTGAAGTGGGGCAAATACATATTTCCATTAATAATTTTATTTCGGGTGCATCGTACGTAATCATCATCATCATTCATCATTTTTATTAATTCATTTCATTCAATTCATCAATTATTTCTAAAATAGCAACAAACACAGCGAAGTTGTAACGCAGGTCTGCACAGAAGCTTATTAATTACTCAATCTAGACTCTAAACCATATCAAACACTATTTTAGAAACATAACAACTAGGTATACGTGGTATCGTTCTACAGATACAAATTGGCAATTTGGATTTGCCAAATACCGTGTCTATTGATTAGGCAACAACCAATAGGAGTCGGTATTCATTGGATGTCTGGCATTCAACTGTTCACTTTGATGAACTGGCTTCATAATTGATATTCCTATAGTACCTACCTATGTAGCTATATTAAGATGGTACCCAATTAATGAAACATTTCTCTTGAATTGGTCTAATTATTTATTGTTAATGAATATGGATTAATTATTATGTTTTCGACTTACTCCCTTAACTGTTTGACGAGGAACTAAGAAACTAGAAGCTCATATTCGTGAGCACCATTCCGCGACCCGCGACGCGGCGTCTGTCGCGCTGCGAGTCGTTGCTTGAGTCAACTGTGGTGCGGGCCCAACGAGCCTCTAGCATGGCTTGAAACTAGTCGAGTTCCTCGTCAAACAGTTACGTGGATAAGACGAAAACATAATAATTAATTAGTATGTTTCACGAGAGTTTTATTATGAATATGGATGGATAATATGGATATGGATTATAAGAATTATTGAGATTAAATGTTAGCGTTGCATTTTTGTGGCAATTAAGAAGATAATCAAGACTGTTTTTCTTATTATTTGTTATTGACTTTCATCGGGGTTCGAATAATTGTTTCCATATGGATATTAACTAGAAAACTTATGTTACGCCAAATTGCGATAATCTCCTTATAACTATAGATATCTAATATTATAATAAAATGTGAATAGTGAGACTAAAAACAAGA